GTTTTCCAAGCAGTGTCCATTGCAGCACTCACAGGCCCTTTTGGACCTTGCTTCATGCTTCCCAAGAGTCTTTAGGAACAGGTATATATGGCTGCCCTGTGCCTTTCAGTTTCTTGCAACTGTAACAACAAATGGATATTAATGTCTTCACCTCCAGATCTTTTGGTTAATGATTGTAGTGACCGAGTTCAGTGTACTTTACTGTCCATAGCTCCATACAGTCTATGGACAGTAAAGTACACTGAATACTTTACACCTTACTGTACACAGCTGAGATGTAGACAATATACAGGAGGACACCTCAAGTTGTTGAAGTACCATCAATGCTCCCTGAGGAAGATCCTTCAAATCCAGTGGGAAGATAGACAAACCAACATTCACGTTCTCTCATAAGCAAACACCACAATCATTAAGACAATGATTATCTGACATCAGCTTTGCTGGGCCAGCCACATTACACAAATTTTTTACTCAGACTCCCGAAGCACATGTTATTGTCCCAGCTCAGTAGAGGGCAGAGGAAGCACCTCAAGGCTAACTTGAAAAAAAATGCAAAATCTACATCAACTCATGGGAGACTATCACCCAGGACCACCCCAAATGGAGGAAGAACCTGCTACAAGGATCTCAGTACTTTGAAACCTTGTGATGACAACAGGAGATGGAAAAATGGGAGCAACAGAAATAGCGTGTTCCAGACCAAATTAAGTATCCAGAGCTACCCACCCCTCACAAAAATACATGCCTGAGTTGCAGCAGAGTCTTTCAATCCCAGATTGGCTTCTTCAGCCATCTTTGGACCCACAGATAAGACAGTCATAGAAGACCATCATCCTTGACTGAGGGACTGTCGAAGAAGGGACTGTCCATAGATTAGTTATAGACATAAAACAGATTATTATAATAGCTTTTTTTTAAAGAAAGTACTTAATAGTATAACTTACAGACAAAGGTCTTGGGTTTCTCTACTAGTTCCCTGGCTGATCTGAAGTCAAAGAAACTTAGTTTTAAAACTTCACATTTTGTGCAGCAGTCTTTTGTGCCTTAGATGCTGCTAATGTAGTTTTCACTACTATAGATCCTGATGGAGGGCTGTGGTGTAGGAGAGCCTGCTGAGAAATGTTGCTACAGTGACAAATACTTACACATTTCCGTGGGGGAGCCAGGGCACAAGGGGAACAAAGTGGTCAGTCAAAAGCTGGGTGGAATTTTTGTTAATTCAGCTCACTGCTTCAGCAGTTTCTGCCAGAAGGGCCCCTCTACAGCCAAGACCATGTTTGAAAGCTGCCACCCCTTGCAATCCAAAAACTGTGACAGCTCCTGCTATTCCAGGGTGAGTTCCTGTTTTAGAACAATTGGCCAGACTGGTGCAGATGAGCATAATTTACGTCTCATGCATAATTTGCATTTTATAATGTATGTAATTTGTTGAATACTTCAGCATGAACATTGCATATAAATATAAAATACCATCGAATATTTTGTTTGTTTGGGATGCACTCAGAGTCATCTGTTTCACTGGGATCTCTCCCAGAAAACTGATTTAGCTCAATGATGGTGAATGGGGATGATAGCTTCTTAATGAGAAGAGTATTAAAATAATTTGTATTTAATTGGAATTTCTTAGCTAAGGCCATTTATTTATATTGAAATTAAAGGTTTAAGTTAAAGCAAAGACTCTTATCTCCCACTTGGTCCAAAAGGTAAATACTGTCCAAACAGTGTTTATTTTGACTCTTCCCAGGAACCTCTCACCGAGAGTATGTTCCCAGTCACCAAAATCTTCCAATGGTTACCCTTTTATTGTTGCAGGAAATTAAAAGCTTTTGTATTGTTTTGAGGAAAGACCTTAAGAACATCAGCATAAATCTTGGATGTTGTTTCTTTTCATATCTGCCACAACTCTTCTATTTTGTCATTAATACTAACCTTAAGTCCCTCATTTCCTTCTACCATCTCCATCCCTGTGCTTTGTTATGTTGTCTTTGAATCCAAGAATAGCCTCCCACTCCTATTATGCAAAAGTACCACTTTTTTTTTGGATAACATTTAAATGCTTACTTCTGTGTTTAAAAATTGAGTTCATAATATATATATTTTAAAACAATTGTTTATTTTAATTTTTTTCTCCTAGTTTCCCTCTGTTCTGTCTTTTTGTGTCTGCCATTCATCGGTAAGCCCAAGGGTAAGCATAAACTTTTAATCTTTTACAATATGTTATTCCCCCTACAGTAATGAGCACATTATGGACACTAAAATAATAAATGAGAATTATTAACCCTGTATATAAAGTTCCTTTGTCATTTACAATGCATATTGAAAAGTCTGCTTTTGGTTTGCTTTTCATAGTAGTTTTAGTTTTTATATTGATAGTACTATGAAATGCTCTGTACCAAGTTGCTTTTGTGCATGATAAGGGTCTAATCCAAAGCCCATGGAAATCAGAGAACTTTTTCCATGGATTTCAATGTGCAAGTCCTAAAGAAACTTTCCTGCCCAAACATACTAGTATGGATAGTATTTTCTGCATTTATTTCAGTAGCACTGCTGACAGAAATTATCACAACTCCTGCTTGCACTCACTTAAACCATTCATACTGTTTTATGATTGGTCATATGGTGGCTGGTAGGGCTGTGCGAAGCTTCAGTCCCTGATTCAATTTGGCAGAGATTCGGCCCGATTCGGTGGTTGAATCTCCAAATTGAAATTGAATCCGGAGACCCTTTAATCTCTCAAAATCAAATTGAAACTCTCCAAATTGATTCTGAAAGATTTGGTGATTCAGACACAGACACAGCTTTAAATGTTTTTTCTCCATACTTCAAGGTACCAGGCAGCTCGTCAATGCTGCAGTGGTGGGGTGGATGGAGTGTCCCGCCGAAGCACGGGGGGGCTCCCCAGCATGCTCGGCAGCAGACCTGGAAGTGGACCAGAAGCACTTCCAGTCCACTTCTGGGGTCACCAGGGAGTGCATGGGGGGGCCCCCCTGTGCCCCTCTCAGCCCAGCAACTGCTGCCTTCTGGGTCTGGGGGGGGCACTCGGGGTCCCCCCATGGCCAATCACTGGGCTGAAGGGGGCATGGGAGGGCCCCCCGCGTGCTCCCCCAGTGGGCCGGAAGTACTTCTTGTCCACTTCTGGGTTTGCTGCTAAGCATGCGGGGGGGGGGGGGGG